TTGCGCACATGCATACTTCTGGTCTCCATGGAAAGTGTGGAGCAATTGTTTTTTAACACACATTTATTTCTTTAAAAGTTCCAGAGAGAAGGAGAGGCAGAAAGAGAGACTGAAAGAGAAATCTTCCATCCACTGGTTCACTCCCCAAAAAGCCACAGTGGTGGGAGCTGGACCAGGCCAGAGTCAATAACCAGGAGGTTTTCTGCGTTCTCCTGTGTAGGTGCAAGGGACAATGAACTTGGACCATTCTCTACTGCTTTCTCAGATGTGTTAGCGAAGAGCTAGATTGGGAAGTGGAGCATCCACATGGGATCTCAGCGTTCCAAGTGGCAGCCCAATCCACTTCACCTCAGCATCAGCAGGTGCTTATCCTTACTAATGTGAGTTAGTAACACAGTGTGCCCGTGTCCGGGGATGGGCCTGATCCTCGGGCAAGAAAAAAAATTGACACATTTGATCATTTGGCACATTTGGTAGGAGTTTGTTTTTTTTTTTTTTAATTTTCATCATTAGGTAGTAAACATGGCATAAGCCTTTGAACCAAGTCAGTGATTGCTGGGGTCTGTGCAGTGGGTGTGGATGGCATGAAGGTGTGAAGAGAACAGCTCCCGTTTGGCAAGACTGAGAGGAGTTTCCAGCTGTTTGTCAAGGCCCGGCGGCTGTCTCTCCGACCACCTTGACATAGGTTCACCTCCTTTTGCATGGACACTCAACCACCCCACTAAGAATTCTGTAATCTATTAAGGCATTTTTGTTTGCCCGTGTGAGATGGCTTGTACAACCAATGTGAGCTTGGGAGTTAATGTCACTGATAATGTCTTGGTGAGTGGGCCTTTGACAATTTACACACAGAAGCACAATTAAGCCCATGCCATTTCTGGACACCTTATTATGTGCCTAACCATGGCCTCAGAATCTGGCCCAGACATGAAGAACACCTTCTGGGAAAGGGTTTGATAAATATTCTAAATAGTAACGAAAGTGATGGACGTATGAGCTGAAACTGCTATGACAATAAATAGAGTTACTGTGACCTTAAAAGCTATCCTGTTTTTGCAATTTCTTTGGAGCATAGGAAATGTAGCTGTTTTGGCTTCTTACCTAATTTTTGACTAGAGGAATTAGAGGATGCTTTTATTAATATTATGGAGATATGCTTTTAATTATTGTTTGATTGTTTATGGGATTTAGAGCCTGTAGTTATAGTGGGATTTAATATTTGAAACTTTTGTCTTGTATTTTTACATTTTTTTTCCCTTGTAGCATATTTCTTCCATTAAATGATGGGCAAGTTGTGGAAATAGAAATGTGGTAGGAATGTACTACTGATTAGCATGTGCCGCATGTGCCTTGGCCTTGGAGTCCTGGCTGTTGCTCCATGGCTGCTACTGAAGAATAAACAATGCCTTTCTTTGAAGAATATGAATACAATATTTTGCAGAATTATCTTGAGGGGCACCTGCCAACCATGAAGTACAGACAGAATGACCAATGTCTGTACATGCCCCTTTAGTCTTGAAGTAAAAATAGAACAATGAAACGTTTCTGCAGAGGCTTGAGATGTGTCTGAGCAAATAAAAAGGACATCTTTTTCTTGAGCTGTTACAAGAGGGCACCAAGTGACAGTGTCCGTGTCTTTTCACGGACACCACACACCCTTCTCAGGCTCCAAACTTGGCTGGAGCTTGAGGAGAAAAAGGAAAACCGAACTAAAGACAGAACTAAGCGCATACCTACTTGGTCACATATCATTCCAGAAAGGCCTCTCATCCCCTCGCCTGCAAAAAAAAAAAATCTTGGCTTCCTAAATTAGACAGAAAAACAGTGCTCTGTGGGTTAAAATCTGAGGCAAGTGATAAAGGAAATGTTATTTCCTAGAATGCTGAGAATCACAAACTTCGTAGCAGAACTTCAAATCAATGCCTGCACACAAACAGGTGCGTTGTCTTCCTTCCTCCGTTGCACTCAGGGAAGCCTGCTCTGCTTCCCAGAACCAAACACCTGTGCCCACCCGCCACCAGAGCTGCAGGCCTCTCTGACAGATTCAGAAAGGCACATGGCCTTGCCTGGCAACCTCTCTTCTGTTAATGAGTTTCACTTGCCCACCAGGCTCATCCTGCTGCTAGTCTCCGCCATGTGCCCTGTGCCACACCCGCTCGGTATTTTGGCCTGATGAATACTCCTTCAGATTTTAACCCACAGAGCACTGTTTTTATGTCAAATTTAGGAAGCCAAGATTTTTTTTTTTTTGCAGGCTAGGGGAGGAGAGGCCTTTCTGGAATGATATGTGACCAAGTAGGTATGCGCTTAAGTTCTGTCTTTAGTTCGGTTTTCCTTTTTCTCCTCAAAGACCTACCCTTCCAATAAAGGTCCTTGAAGGATGCGATTTGCCTCAGACACCAAGCCACATGGTACTTGCTGAGTGGGACTGTGAATTATAGGGTGTGAGATGAAAGCACTGTTAGTGGAAATTAATTTGCCAGCGCCTTTCTTTTTCCACTTCCCGCAGGGATGAGCCACACACTATGAAAATTTTTAACCCCAGGGTTTTGGAATTGAGCCTAAGCTTTCCTTTTCACTAATTTTTCCAAAGAGTTAGCAATGGCCTTGGTGGAAGGCAGTGCTGGTGGACACACACGCCTGGCCTCTGCTGTGCTAACATAACGGTTCCTGTCTCCCTGCGCGACCGGTGTGAAGTCTGCCTTAAGGTGCATCCGGGGGAGAGGGTCTCTTGGGAAGAGAATGTGTCCCCAGGGCTCCCCCCCGCCAGGCCCTGCCCTGCATGCCACTGCCCTCTGTGTATACCCACGTCTTGAGAGAACACGCTATCCCCAAATCTAGGGAAGCTCCTCATCTCCTGTTCCCCACAGCAGGTCAGAAAAGAACAGTGTCTTTGGTGCTGGGTCTGATTTCCGTTTGAAATGCAGCACTCGACAGTTTTAGACAAACCAGAAATAATCTTTATGGCCTGCAAAATGCCTTTCTCCTAGGATGTCTCGTGCTTTGAGTACATTTTCACCCAGTGAAGTAACATTCAGACTCCTGGAGACAAGCAAGCACCTCCCGAGACATGCTATCCATCACCGTGATGCCAGGCAGGCTTCCCCCAGCACCCCCGCCGACACAGGTGAATGTCCTGTTTGCACAGATTAGCAGCGACTCCTGGGTAACCCGGCCACGTGGTGCTGCCTGCCTCTCCGTGTTTTCATTATCTTTGTAACACAAGGTAATGTTCCATACCAGACTGCTGTGAGCTTTAAAAGTCCAAAGTTTCGAATATTTTGAACCAGACGTCACAGAGCAGCCTGACTGACAGCTCAGTGTTTAGCTAGCATTAGAAAAAAAGAAAAAAATCCCATTCAGAGCCAAATACTGACATCTCTTGGGGGTTGGACCCAGTCAGAAAGCTTTCGTTTTACAGTAACTGCCTGGTCAGCAGACCCCTCAGGATGTCTGATCCCGACGTAAGTGGTGAGGTTCTGCAGGTTTCCCCAGTCCCAGAGATGAAAGGCAGCTTGTCCCTTTCACAAAATCGTGCAAGTGCAGAACCAGCGCACAAAGCAAAGCCCTGGACTCCGGGGACAGTGTTTGCTTAGACACATGCAGCTCTCTCACACTTGGTTTTTAGGAGTGGCAGTTTTAAAGGAATCCTTCCCTCAAAGGATGGGGAAACACCAATGTGCTCTCTGTAGAGATCCAGTTGCATTCTGGCATCTGAGAATCCACAGGGCCCCCTGCAGTCAGAAGAGAGATAGGCACCTCCCTGTGCAGTCGGCTTCCTTCGGCAAAAGGGAAAGTCAGAAGGACCCGGAGCAGTCAGGGAAAGCCCCCACGGAGAGCTGGGGTGAGGCTCCAAGAAGACACAGCCCTGCGAGATTCAGGGTGCACAGCCATTGTTGAGGACTAGGGCCTGAAATTGACACCATATGTGCCCCAAGGAGTGATTGCTGTGCGGGGGCGGGGGTGGGAGAAAAGCAACATGTCAGAACATTTTGGTAACACCTAATTCATCCCGAGGTTATAAATAAATATGATGCTAGCTTAAAAACAAAAGTCAGAAAATGCTTTAACTGGATTACTTCTGTGACAGTGCTGTAGGCAGAGGTGAGCTCTACTGGGGAGACAGCATGAAGAAAGAGAAACACAAAGCAACTTTTTATGGTATATTTGACGTTATTTTATTTAGGATTTTTTTTTCTTTTTGCAGTAAATAAAGTGGTTATAGGGCTCCAAGGAAAAGGACCCATATGTTAGAGAGTTGTGTGAAATTTAGGGGAAACAAGCTGTAAAAAACACAGCCATAAACCAGGCTGTCAGTGCCACACATCTGGACAATACAGCTGTATGTTCCTAGTGGCTGTCGTCACCCACGGAAAACTCAGTAACCTTATTTCACCCCAATTAGGCTGCATACCAACAGGATCAGCATTGAGTTGCAAGGGAGGAGCTGCAAGGAGGGAGCAGCGGTCACATGGCGCCTCTGTGTCAAGCAGCTTTTAACTTTTCATTCCAATTTGGTCACCAAGAAATAAAAGACTGCTAACATCGTCATTTCCACGAGTAAAAACAAACAAACAAGCAAAAAACTCTGTTTAATTTATAACGTCCTCGTAAGTCACAGTTTGACAGTCTGGACTACCGGCTACAGCAAACAACAATAGACTTTCTGTAGAGTGAAACTGACCTATCAATCATCGGAACACGGTCCGGCCCTTTCCGTCTGCCCTTGTCTGGGAGCCCCCGGCAGACATCATTGTAGAAAGCAACTCCGCCTTTCCGGAAAAAGATCTTGATGTTCAGACAGCCCAGTTTATTGAAAAGGGGGCGTAAGGGAGGGAGGAATGCCAACACATCTTCATGGTCAGGATTGTCAGGCAAAGAGGTGCCTTTAGTAACATGAAAATCACAAAGCATAAAACAGCCTTTCATCTCTTTGTCACGGACAGACTGTGCCAACCTTTCTGCAGTGTCCCTTTTCTAATAATTGTGTTTCTTCCTAGGTGTTAATGACAGCAAAAACAATTCTGGATACTGGAGAGAAACTGTCCTTACCACTGATAGGAAAACTCTTAAAATTTCAACTTCTGCAGATAAAAATTAGGGACCAAATGCGACGAGACAGCGAAAAGAAGGTACTGTACGAAATGGTGGGTTTTCTAGAGAAGGCGAGTGGAAGGGGGCAGGGCTTCTCAGACACACTTCCGGTCATCTTAAACCCCCTCCGTTTCTCAAGGAAAAGATGATCCAGGTTTTGTTGGAGGAATTAATTCTGTTAAAAAGAAGCGTATCTACATAAGAAAATGACACTGTCCAGGGCCCTTGCCCAGCGGTTGCTCCTTTGGTGGTGTACAAGGACACTTGCAAAGAGATTTTGTGAAAGCTATGCACTTTTTTTTTTCGTGATATACACTTTCATGAGGATTTTGTGTTGATTTCAAACATTTCTGCACCAAAACACCCTAACTAAAACAGTTCTGCACATGCTTTTGGAAATAGCGTCATATTCATGCCATCACAGAAGAGAGAGCCAAGGAAGAGACAGGGAATGAGGAGAAGTAAATATTAAATGGTGTGGGAAGTGGGGAGGAGGGAATCCTCATGGTCAGGTTTTAAACTGTTTAAATATTTTATATTATATTCAAAAGGCATGCCTATTAACACAGTAGGCACATATGTACCTTCATCACAGTCAGAATATTTCAACAGCAACTCATCTCTGTAATCCCATATTAGGTACCAGATAATTTCTTTATATGTGGACTTTCATTTAATTTATCCATGAAAAGAGTTTGTGTTTTCCAAAGGTTCATTTTTGCATCTGAAAGGTACCTGAAAATACTTTTTCCAAAGTGATGCCAGGTTCAAATCTATTTGCTTATGATCCTTACTTAAAATAAGATTCCTTTCCAGGAGGAGGGTGGATGAGAAATGCTGGCTGGAGGGGAGAAGAGGCTGGGAAACAGGGCTATGCTTCTAATCCGCATATTGAGACTTGTTCACTTTACAAAATTGATTTAAAAAAAAAATAAGAGGTCCTGTCAAAATCATGCTGAGATATTTTTGGAAAAGCCAGAGCTTCTGTATATAGATTTGTAGTGCATGTATATATATGTTTGTATATAAAACGGATTTGCATCTGAAGTTGCTTCTTTATGCTCTGAAAATAGAAGAGGGAAAGTCATATTAGAAGACAAAGAAAAGAGAATTCATTCCAACATCTTTTTCATCTTTGCAAGATTCCTAAAACTCGTTTGTTTTGTTTGTTTGTTTGTTTGTTTTTTACTTTATTTAAGCTACTGATGGAATGATTTTGGCAACAGTAATATAGGGCTTTATGTTTTTCAAAGAGGTTGTTCTAGTAGACACTTTACTAGACTGCTTATCTATGGTCCCAGGAAGACACTATTCACAGGAGCCCATATGATGCCATGGCTTCCATATCCATAACCTCTTTCTAAGAAATACAGAATTGTTCACCATAATATAGTCAGGGAAGTTAAGACTTGGCAGAAAAAAAAATTGGAAAATTTCAACCTAATATACAAATGCATCTTTTTTGCATGTTTAAATTCCAGTATCACATGGGACTCTGAATCATAAAATATGGCGTGTGAGTCTTGCAAAGTTCCTATGCCTTCTGTTTGCTCAGGATTTTCACAGTGCCCACGGTGCTTCTGAAGAGCATCCGTTTACTTGTTTGCCACCTATAATTCAAGAGTTGTTTATTATACAAGTAGGCTATAAATTTCAATTAACAGCATTTAAGTTATAAGAAATAGTGGAAAATCCTGGTTAGCGAATGAAAATTTGTCAAGCTTCCAATTGCATAAATACTCCTTCAGTATTTTTCTGCTCAGCATTTATTTTAATTGTGAACCATAATACAGTAAAAAATTCCTGAAATATGGAAATAATGTCAATTTATTCATTGAAAATATTAGAACCCTGAAGAATTAGAGCTCAAACTTCAGGTAGTAAAAACAGAGTATTTGGACATAATAACACAGCCAGAGAATTCTGAGTGATTAAGAGCTAACAAAAACATAAATTAATGTCTTCATTATTTTGAATACCCAAGCATCAACCTTAAGCTTCTGAATTGAAACCATATGAATAAGTGCTAAATACATTGTCAAAAACTGATTGGAATGGAATCCTGTCTAGCATATGCTCACGTTGTAGGCAGAACAGAGGTAGGTGGCTGCAGGATGATAAAGTCTATATACATTTCAACAACTTTGCCTGAGAGGTTGGTCGAAACAGTAGACTTCAGCGTTTGTCAGCCTGGCAGTTTAGTAGAAAGCAAAGTACAAAGCATGTAAAGCTGCTAACACACTGTGGAGTAGAAAATGAGGAAAAGACAAAACTACTCCAAGTCTTCCCTTCTCCTAAACTTAAGAACTCTGAGATTACTAAAGGACATTAAAGGAATCGTCAGCTCTTTAACCTAAGCATGAAGCCTAAGAGGATGTTTTCTTCCAAATGCTTGCTAATGCAATCATTTCTGTCTGTACAAAGAGGTTTTTTTTTCTACTATGCTGAATTTGTATGGAATTGTATTTTTAAGAATGAATGCTTTAAAAATAATCATAATAGTAGTTACAGAAAATATTAGAAACAAGGTGAAGACAAAAATAACCAATATAATTAGCTTCCTCTTCTTTTCCCCAATGTGGTATATTACTATATAATTGAACCTGGTTTGATCAATCTAAGCTTTTCTTAAAAATAAATGGTCACCTTTGCCCATGCCTTGGCCGTCCCACCCTAATCAGTGGTCCTCGGGAGCATACATCCTTGTCAACTATATGAACAACATCAAAAACAAAATTATTTTTTAAATGCTAAATAATATAGCTTCAATCCATCAGTAACAATATTATACTTATTTTCAATTAATTTTAATAGCTTAAAACTTAATTCTTAATTTTAATAACTAAACATGCTTAACATTGCATTTGATTTCTGCTTTGCAACAAAACCTGACAGTTAAGTGATATTAAAAAAAAAAACACTAAAAAATATGTTTCTAAGAAAAGCATTAAAATGCTTACTATATGAACCTCTGGAAAAAATATAGACGTCTAGTTAGAAATAAATTAAATGCATTTGAAAATATTTATTCATTTTGAAACACCTTATTAATTACTTCCAAACAACATACCATGAAGAAAAGATAGCATCTTTTATAAATATATTTTAGCATTTCAGAATTTCTGAATATGACTATCTTCACACAATAATCCCAAATTAAATTTTATTGTATCTTAAAATTTTACCAGTGTTCTATTTAAAGGCGAAGTTTCCTTGCATCATTATTTCAACATTTTTTAGTTCTGTCATTTTTAATCCATTGTTAAATCAGGAATTCAAAAAACATTTATTGAAGGCCTCACAGAAATAATGTGCTGGTAACATGTATTCTGATCATTTTCATTATAGTTTTAAAATAAACCCCTTTTATTCTAATTCATGCATTAATTTAGCTATCACCTGAATTTCATATTTTTATTTACAATTATGCTTTTTTAAAATATAACTTTTGTGATATATTTATTAATATGTGTTAACTATAAGACACTCAATTATGAGTCAGAATGTTTCCTTTATATTGAGAATTCTAATAAAACATTTAGTGATCAAAAAATGGAAAGTGGCCATAATACAAGACCTCATTAGTCATTTAAACAATTGACCAGTTTAAATCTGATCTGATCTTCCTCTGAGTTCAAAATGTTTGTGTAGCTTTGAAGAAAAAAAAGTACAAATGTATTCTAATTCTGCTTTTAATGTATTCAAATAACCAGTGAATATTTTCTTGGATTTTCTTAGGAAATATTTCTTATGTAAAAGAATAGTTCTTTCTCTTTCAAGTTTACACGTCGTAACTTATTTTCTGAAGGATTAAGATTGTAGAGCTGCCCGCTAGAAGCGCCTGAAGTTTGATGACACTTCATGAGGATGACACAGACAGCTCTGCTCCGAAAGCAGAACAGCAAGAAATTAGAGCAGCTTTCACAGACATTTTCCAGTTTCCTCCGGCTGAAACCCCGAAACACTGGAAACCAGCCAATGTAATGCCATTTTCCTGCGTGTGTTTTGTTTTAAGAGAAAGACCATAGGGACATACCAGGAAATTACAGGCTGGTTAGTTTTGATTCAGTTGTGGTTAAAGTCTTCTAAAACTATTTTAAGAAATCAAACAGAGGAAGAGCAGGAGCTTGGTTTAGAGGGACCCGTGTGGCTTCACAAAAGGAATAACTTGCCTCACTAACAGAGTGGAATTCTGGAGGCTGGATTGTTGAAATGAAGATACTACCAGCATGAATGTCGGATCGAAGAAGTTTGAAAACCCCACAATTGAGGCAAAACAATAAGTGGCACCCTGGCTGACTTATCTCTGAAACTGTGCAAGTGCTATCCTCCGTTGGTTTGCTTTTAACTGATGCAAACATTTTATGAGCTTCAAGAAAAATTTAAAGCAACTGGTAATTATAGCTACCATTATTGGCTGGCACTCTCCTTAGTGTTTACATATGTTATTATTCAATATTTTATATGACTTTATGGAGTACAGAGTATTCCCAGTTTGTAGATGTGAAAACTAAGAGTGTAAAAAGGTTAGCAATGTATCCAAGGCCAATTACTCCCAGTGGTAGAACCGACATTCAAATCCAAAACTGTCAGGACTCCCACTTTCTTAACCATCAGGCCTGCCCCTCGCAAATGTGTCTCAATGATTATGGAATGACAGCCTTGGTCCACAATCAGTAAAGTATTTGCCCAGAGATGTTTGTCTACAGAAACAAAAGCTTTCTTGGTGATCTTCCAACAAGCATCTAGTCTTACTGATAACGTGGTGCACAGCATCATGAAGTGAAAATGTGTAGGTAGTGGTGATGGGAAGAAACAAAACTCACAAAAGACAAAGGTCCCAGAACTAACCAACCACTTATTTCTAAGGGAAGCCTGACTTATATTCCAGTGTCACCTAGAAATGAGGTAGTCTTTGAGAGAATTGCCTAGAACAAAGACTAGACTAGAATTGCCTAGAACTAGACTTCCTGAGGTTATTTGCAACATCTTCACACCTTTGGTCCTGTCCCTAAGAATGGTAAGGTAGCATAGCTTT